CTCAGTCCAGATATGGTCACTTCCTGTTCACTGGTTGCATAAAACAACAAGATGTCGACGGCCGTAATCAAAGAAAGTCGCCTCTTTCTTAGAGAGAATACAAGTTTTAAGACACTTCTGCATCGGCTTCACTCGGCAGAACCGGAGGTTGCCGTCTGGTCGTACTGACTCAACTCATCTCTAACTGTCACTGCTGGTTGTGTCACTACGTCACCGAGCTTCCTGCCTCATGCACTTTGTGTGTTTCAGCTACTTAGAGTATTATTTGTGTCTCGAGAAGAAGAAGATCCAGCTCACTGCTTTTTGCTCAGCGTCACAGTTTATTGATCACACTGGTGGTTTGGTCGATGTGGTCGTTCGTCAACAGTGTTCTACACATTGTGACATTGATCCTCCAGCCTGTGAACACCCACACAGGTGTTTCCAGTTAATCTGTCTGTGGGCGTGTACAGACTCATTGATTGACATCTTCCTCAGTCTCCCTTAGCGTCAATGCACCTGTTAGAGTGGGACGAAATACACCTTTATCATTCTTATTGGCAGATGAAAAGATTTGTGAGCTGATGATGCTCATCATAGATCAAATCGCCGTGACCTAAAGGATGAGATGTCATGTTTGAAGTATTACTTGTAAAAGTAGCAGTTCTTCATGTGCAACATCACTTTTTCCAATATCATGGTCAATACCTCCCTTCATATGATGCTCAATATTACTTTTCTGTTCTAGTCTCCGTGAGGCTCTGGTGTTAGTGTCACTTCTTATATCTTTGTATTTTTAATTTGTTTGTTGTTGTAATTTTCCTTTTTCTATTTCAGTTGAACATCCTTTACTTTATTTATTGATCTTACTCTTATTACTATTGTGGTATATTTTGCAATGGAATCAGTATTAGAAGTTAAACAAAGAATTTCCTTCGGGATTAATAAAGTTCTATCTTATCTCAGTGCTAATAATTTACTATCTGTCCGTCTGTCCTGAAGCAACACCCGCTGGAACTCATCTATCTGAGCAACAAAGAGGATTTAAACAGCTTCACGGAGGAGACCAGCGACGTCGTCCACTACCTCAAATACCGAGCGGAGAACGGAGACATAGAATCTCAGGTATGTTTGAGTCGCTTTGTATTTCTTTTCTTTAATCGTAGTTTCAGAAGAGACCAAATGTAAAACTGTTGTGTAGAAACACCTGGGAACGATGCTGTTCTGGGGACGACACGGAGTCCCAAAGGACGTGGCGACCGCCGTGAAGTGGTACGAACGCCGCGCTCTGCAGCTGAAGGATCCCACAGCGATGTACGACTACTCCGTCCTGCTGATGAAGGTCCTGCAACATTATAAAGACTGGAGACATTTTTATTTATGGTCAAATTCAACACTGGGTTTTTTTTCTCTCTGTGTGTGTGTGTGTGTGTGTGTGTGTGTGTGTGTGTGTGTGTTTTGACACTTATTGATCCTCTGATTGATGTTATTCCCTCAGGGTCAGGGAGTGAAAAAAAACGTCACCAGAGGTTTGAAGCTGCTGGAGAAAGCTGCAGCGATGGTATGTGTGTGTGTCTGTGTTTGTGTGTGTGTGTCCGTGTTTGTGTGTGTGTCTGTGTACGTGTGTTTGCGCGCGTGTGTGTGTGTGTGTACGTGTGTGTGTGTGTGTGTTTGTGGGTTCTCCCAACAACCTGAGTGTGTACACACACACGTGTTTGTGTGTGTGTGCGTGTTCTCCCAACAACTTGAGTGTGTACACACACGTGTGTTTGTCTTCAGGGCTCCGTTAACGCGCTGAACGGTCTGGGTTGGTACTACAGGATGATACTGAACGACCACGAGAAGGCGGTGAAGTACTTCCGGCAAGCGGCGCTGAATGGGAGCGCCGACGCCATGTTCAACCTGGGGCTCTATCACCTCAGCCACCAGAACCCGAACGAGGTCCGGGTCACGCCCCATGTCAAAAATGCTTGTTTTACGTTACTTGATCTGTCTTCGAGCTGATTTGTTTCATTACCTGACCCCCCCCCCCCCCCAGACGGCCGCGGTCCTGCAGTTCCTGAACGCGTCCCGGCTCGGTCACGATGCCGCGTCGGTGGAGGCGGCGTCGTACCTCTCCACGGGGGTCCTGGAGGGCGTGTCTCAGGACGTGGCGAGGGCTGTGACGTAAGAGGCCTTTTTCCATTGGTGGTGAAGAAAGCTTTGTTCCGGGCTGTTGTGCATAATGTAGATAATGTAGCCTGCAGCTCAGCGGCTAATTCAAGGTCAGCTTCTATTTGCATATCTATTAATACGAGTCGCTGCATCGCTGTCTGCCACAGAGACGCTGCTCACCATTGCTCCTCTGGTATCCTATGAATTTAAAGAAGCTCCTGCTGCAGCTGTGGAGGCGTGTCGTTGCCTTTACCTCAACAAATCAGAAACTATTTTCAGATTGCGTTGAAATATTTTTACAATATCATGTGGAGAAATGATATTCCATAATTCATCAGCCATCCGTTCTCCCCTCTGTGCAGAATAGTTAAAAAGGTCTGCGACCAGAACGGACACCTTGGGCTGGTGGTCAGAGACGCCCTGCAGGGCTACATCCGGGGCTCCCGGTACGGACGTTCATCTCAATCTCTTCTTTTGAATTGTCCCGGTTTAACCGTTTAATCTCCGCCACTCTTTGCCGTTTGTCCCGGTTAATCCGCATCTGTTGTTCTTGTGTTTGCGAACAGGCAGGGAGCGTTTGTGAAGTACGTGCTGGCGGCTGAAGCTGGTCTGGCTTTGGCTCAGAGCAACGCTGCACACCTGTGTGAGGTAAATGTTTAACCCCTTCATGTCCTCAACCAAACACAAAGACTCTGTCATCTGATTTCTGAGGAATAATTCAGCTTGAAAACAGCATAAAGAAATATAAAGAAATGACAAATCGACTAAAGAATCTTCGTAGACTATCACCAGAAGGCAGGCCTAGTTATTAGCATACTGTAGTTAACGCCCTCTGAACACGTTGTTATAAATCCCGTTTGGTTTTCTTGACAAGACCCGCCTTGAGCAGCATTCGAGCTCCCGGATTGGCCAGGCGTCCGATGCTTCTCGTGGTACCGGTCACCTGTTCAGGTCCTGCTCCCCGACCAACGAGCCGTCCTGAACCCGACTACTCGAGGTCAACCCCTAATGCTGTTCACACCAAAAGTGAAGCCAATTTTTGCGGCACAAATCATTTGTGTTTATTTGCGTAATTCGCGGTAGACGTGCCGGAGAGGAGGCGGGTTTACCTCCATCGAGACGTTTATCAATCACGGCTGAAATAACCAATATTTGTGCGACGAGGGCCGACGTCTCTCGAGTTCTGAAGGCAGCTTGATGAAGAGTCATCATCGCTCTGCTCTTTCTCCCCCTGCACACAGGAGCTGCACCTCCATCACGACTGTCAGTGGAGGTATCACAACTTCTCCATATTAAACTACGATCCCCATCCTGCAGGTGAGCTCCTCTCATTGTTCTGTTTTTCCTGTGAGTCCGCTCAATGAACACCACCGAGTACTCATCTTCTCTCTGCAGCTCTGCTGAAGATGGGAGACCACCACTACTCCTCCTCCAGCCGGAGAGGAGACTCATTATGGTCGCCGGCCGAGGCCGTGTCGATGTACGTCCGAGCAGCTGCAGCAGGAAGCCCCCAGGTGACCGTAACCTCATCACCGCCGTGATAAACTTCATTAAAGCGTTCACGGGCTCCGGCCCACCGCAATAAAAACAGCATTATACAGTGTTATTGTTTGGAGGCGCTGCTCTGTGAATAACCCCTCAGCTCCTCTTGTGATTTTTTTTCATTATTATTTTCACAGGGAATGTTCAACTTGGTGCTTTTGGCAGAACAAGGCCACGATGTTCTAGCGAGCATCCACAGCATGTTTAATGAGTCGCAGCGTGGCGAGCAGGACGTCCTGCTGATGCTCTTAAAAAGGTGCTTTTTTAAATTCATGGACAATAAATAATGACCATTAATATTTGTTTATAGCACTTATAATGTGATATAATGTTCTTCTTCGGTTCGTTTAAAGGAGCAGTGCGTAACATTTTGGGGATTTATCAGCAGAAATGTATGTTTTCATTGTTTAATCACCTGAAACTGAGAATCGTTGGGTTTTGTAGCTTCGAATGAGTTCTTCATCTCTTCATCTCTACATCGGGAGCGGGAGTGAAATACTCAGTTAGGTTTATGAAGTATTGTCAAAAATAACTAGTGAACTGCCTTCACTGAAGTAAGCAAGTTGTGTGACAAAAACACCAGCAGCAGTTTGGATGATCGCCGTTTATTGGACCCATCCAGCTCCGCCCCCCCCACCGCCCTGTTTGTGCTTCAGTCTTTATTCCTCCTCAGTCACGACTACGTGGATAAGATACGATACAAATTCGTGGAATATCTACAAATTACGGCGCAGTGCGTGGGCGTCGTTAACGCATGCTCAGTAGTTGCAAACGGAAACATTCACTTGACCTGTGAGTCTGCTCCTTAAAACTAGTTACAAATTACATTTATATTAAATATTTTATTTCTTCTGCTGTCCACATTATTGGGTAACTTTATTTGCATCTTTGGAGGTAAAATGTGCACACAAGAGCAATGAGGGGGAGACTAGGATTTTTGACCCACTTGGTCCAGAATTTAATAAACACATTTTTCTGAAATATTTGTCAAATATTTCTTCAAGGATTATTCTGTCATTTCGATCCCTGGCTCCTCCGGTCCGCATGTCGAATGTTTCCCTCTGCACTGAACCCCAAATGTCCCCCGCAGGTCCTGCCATCGGTGTGTGAATGAACATTTAGAGTGGATCCTGCCATCAGTGTATGAATGAGTGGGTGAATGTTGACATTGAGAGGAGCTGTATAGATTATATATATATATAATATATATTTGTTGGTGGTCGCGCATGACACCGTCTGCATTGATTTCTCCCCTCAGATGTGTGCAGGCGGAGGAAGAGGAGGCCGTGATGCCCTGTTCTTTAGCTCTGCTCCGAGTCCAGATGGGGAGAGCCTTGAGGAGGACGAGTCAGAGCGGAGCACAGCTCCTCTTGGTAGGCGGTTTACTCCTACTGCGTGTGGCGAGAGGAGAAACCTCTTACGCTTTATTATCCTCCTTTGATAATTCGATCTACCTTTAATTATTGAAACACCTTTCAATGCTAATTGGCCGTTGGTCATGAATAAGACATTAAAGACACTAAAGGCTGCTATTTTGAGAAAGAAAAGGTGATGATTTATTTAAATTTGTTCTTCTCATTTCTCTGCAGACATATGCATCTCTTCTTTCTGTCATTGTCACTGTTGTCATCGTGCCGCTGCAGAGTTGTCTCGGTGGGTAATTGTGCTGCACCCACCTGCACCTGTTTGCCACAGGATGGCGCCATTTCCCCACATATCGTTTTCACCACCTCTCGCCTGCACATTGAGATAATCTTTGTGTTTTTTTTGCATGCACTCAATCTGCAGAACAAAGGGTTGCCAGTCGGCGAGTGTTTGCACCGAGGGCCTCGTCCGTCAGCCAAGGTGGTGTCGGCTCGGTAACAGAGCAAGATGGCGTCGTGGGAGGAGCCCACGGAGCGGCGGGGAATCCGAACGGCGAGCGGCAGCTCCTGCAGACCTGCGATTGGGCCGTGAGCCTGTCGGGCGTGTGCCTGTGTGCTTTCTGCACCGCCATCCTCTCTCATCTCTTATGACACACAACAGCCAGCGCAGTGATCCGACGGACACATTTAGGGGGATGAGTCGCAGCAGACACGTGACTCATTGGAGGCTATGAGGAGGGGAAGCAGTGAAGTGCTGCTTTATCTGAGCGGTGATAATGTTTCCTCGGTAACCGTTTTGTTCCATCGTTCTGTTTGAGGAAAATAAAATACTTATCGTTCATTTAATTAATGCTGCGAACGACCTAAAGTCTATGTTGTCTCCGGGACGCGGCGCCGAGGAAGCAGCCTGAAGCTTCTGTTACGCAACACGTCAAACACAGTAGAAGCACAAAACATACATTTTATTTGACAAATTGTTACTAATATTATTATATGATATGATATTATAATATATTATTATAAAATGTTTTCTTCTGCTTTCCAGTTATTTTTCAAATTGGGAAACTTTCACACTTTTGAACACGAGAGCAACGAGACGGGAGACTTGAGAGAAAAATGGAATATAAAAATCAATGAATCAACATAACAAGGTCATTTATTCGACACCTCCATAAATATTTGACCCACTTGGTCCTGAACTTAATAAACACATTTATCTGAAGTATTCTTCGTTTGTCTTGTGAGACGTGGAATCAGACTCTATCCCAGCCTCAGGGATGGACGTGTTCTAGCTCAGCTCTTCAGCCCTGTTCCTGTTCCTGTTCCTGAGCCTATCGGCCCCATCGTGATGATAAGTGTCTCTCAGGAGACTGGACATGCAGCAGCAACAACATGCAGGGGGGGGGGGGGGGGCTTAAAAACATTCTGTCCAAGGCCGGAGCAAAGGAATCTCAGACGTTATTGATTCAGGAGTTCCGGGTCGATACAAAAGATAAGACGATATCAGTTTGAGGCATCGCTGCGGGAGACGAGAAGAGTTTGACCTGAAAGGATGAGTTACCACAGCAATGACACCTTCAGGGGCATCAGTCAGAAGCAGGGGCGTTTCTAGGATTCAAAGAAAGGGGGGGCTTAGCCCCAAGGGGAGTGGCATGTTTGCACGCTATTTTTTTTGGGGCCCATTTGGGGCCGCGGATATCCATTGTTTCAGACAGTTCATAGATTGGTTCAATCCTAGTGCCCGTATGATGATAGGCTATTGCAGGGGTATTCAACTAAAATTACAAAAGGTCCAGATTGTAGAAAATGTCCTCGGGCAAAGGTCCGGAACATTACAATAATATTTAACTTGTGCTATTTAGTGCCATATATATATCTATAAATATATTCAAGAAGCCTAGTAGTAGTAAGAACGTCTCTGTGTAGTCAACAACTGTCAAATCAAATAAAGAAAGTACACATCAATTATATTTTAACAAATTATTATTCTCAGTTTTCAAATTTAACTGGATGGATTATAAATAATACATAGAAATACATAAATACATGTTCTTCTCATTTCAAGTATAATAAGAGCTGGATTAAAGAATAACTGACATAACAGAAAGCTTTTCAAAAATGTGCATCTTAAAACAAAGTAATTAATTTTAGAAAGATTTATTTCACTGAATTGTCCTGCAGCTTTAAATTCAGTTCATTCAGGTGTGAAGTGATGTCAATAAAAAGCCACAATATTATATTTTTGTCACTTAAAAAGATAAATCAGTGAGCATGGACTTTATCTGTGGTTATTAACACTCGTTTCAGCTCTATTCTCTCTGTTAACATCCTTGTTGGACAGTGAATTCATGTGTTAGGATTCTGATCATATTGGGCTCTTTGGTTTATTTTCTGTCTTCATTTCAGATGTGAGTGGGTACGTTTGTTCAAAAGAGTTGTGCTTTGCCTCATAGTGTCGCTTCATTTACCGCTTTTATCGATAGTTACGGTTTCTGAACATATGAGACACGCTGGTTTTAACTGCCTGTGGTAATAATTAACATATAAGATTCTGTTAATTTTTGCTTATAAATTATATTCTCTCTGAATACGTTTCTCTTTTTGGAGAACGTCATGTGAGATAACTTCTTCGATCAGCGCAATTTTCCTGCTCTTCTTTCTCTCTCCTTGTCTTAGCCCCGTGGGTCACGGTGTGTGTAAACCTCGCTCGAGTCAGGAAACTTGTCAGAATACCCACATTTGATTGGCTGAGCTGCATCACGTGATGTGATTTGCAACGCATTGGTCGGTGTGATTCCTGCACCGCTGAACCGGTTAAAGTACTGTATAAACTCATTGCCTAATATGTATAATTCCGAATTATCTATCGGTTTTAAGTCCTGGGTCCGGATGCAACTGCGTCTGGGTCCAGATCCGGATCCGGACTCCATTGTCATAATCATAAAATATACATCATTGCTTCCCATAAAGCGGGCGACATGTGGCTGATGTCGGGGCTGAGCGCTGTGTTTGGCGACAAAAATGCGAAACAATAAATGGTCCGCCAGTTGGGGACCCCTGGGCTAATGGATTGTAATTTGAAGGGGGAGAAAACATATAAACCAGAACGCACGCAGATCTGTAGCATGTTAGAGTTTTAAATAACTTGTCCATGTGAGAAACAATAGTTTAATTTAATGACATCACCAAAATAAAAATAATTAATTAAAGCCAATAATGCCAAATTATTTGGGGGCGCTGAAGAACATTTTAGGGGGGCTTCAGCTCTGCCAGCGACTGCTTCTCTGCAACTGCATCTGATAAATAAAACAGCTGAAGTACAGGAGGAGCAGGCTGCGTCGGTCACTTCTTAAGGGGTATTTACGGCTCGCTGCGATGATGTTCCGTCTGCAGCAGGGAATGTTGTCGCCTGGTGTTCGGGTCATTAGTTAAATAAGGAGTTTCAATGTGTCAACAGAGTGAAGTCTGGATGTAATTGAGGGATGGAGTAATGATCCTCTTCCTCCTCCTGTCTCTGTCATCTCTGTCTTTAAAAGGGACAGGTCACCAAAACAAAGACAATTACTACACTCGTGCACTGCAGTGATCCTTTCATGTGGTAGTATTCTTATGGGTACTGCCATTCCATCAATGATACATTTTAGATATCAGGATCTGTCAACACTGACGCCCCACCTCTTTAATCCATGTGCTAAAGGTCAAATTCATTTCCAGCAATAAAATAGATGTTAAGGAATGTAAACTCAAACAATGGATCAAACAATACATGGCTAGTTAGTTACTTTGGAAAACAGTTATTTGCTTTCTTGCCTTGAGTTATGATGCATTCAGGTGCTCCTCAGACGGTCACAATTCACAAAGTTAGTCGAGCTAATGTGGAAACAACACGGACGTTGACAACAAAAATGAACTATTAATAATTATTACGACTAGAATGTGGCTTCACTTGACTTGTTATCAGGGTTAATGCAAATACATAACTTTAATAACTAATCGAGGTCACTCTCCGCGGACGGCAACAGTCACAACCTAATACCATAATACCACAATATGTAAATTACAGTCATCAACCAAACATTTACTTTCGTCTGCAGTACTTCTGCATAATAGGACGTGAACTCTGCAAGTCGTGTACCAACATTTTCAAAACTTTCCAAAACTTTGATCCAAAGTGAGGGAACACATTTTCCGGACACGGAAGATTGAGATAAAAAGATTAGATGAAGATAAGAAGCAGTGTCTTGCTCAAGGACACATCGACATGCGACTGGCAGAGCCGGAGCCGGGAATTGAACCCGCCGACCCTCTGATTGAAAGACGGCCCTGCTATCCACTTAGCAGCAATCGCCCAGTATTAGAGGTGCTGGTGGCGGGATTTTTGTTACCTTTCCGTTTCCGGTCTTTGCGCTAAGCTAAGCTAACAGGCTGATAGCGGTTGCTTCATATTTACCGAGTGAAATTCCAAGATTCTCAATAGCCAATCTGATACGAGTAAAAAACAAAGCACTTAGTGTGACTCAGTGTTAGGACCATAGAGTGAATATAAGAAGTGGACATAGTCGTAGAGATGTCACCCATTGGTTTAAAGGTTGACAGTTTGAAACCTCAAGTTCGACATTTTGGCCGTCGCCATCTTGACTTTTTGCAACCAGTAAAAAGGGGCCACTGTGGCTCAGTGGTAGAGCAGGATCATCCTTCAATCAGATGATCGACGGTTCGATCCCCAGTTCCTCTAGTCCATGTCGATGTGTCCTTGGGCAAGACACTGTGCTGCGCTGTATGAACGGGGTGTGCATTTAGTATCTTTTACGTACAAGTGACCATATTTATGCCGCTCTGGTAGAGACCTGTCAATGAACATCATGCTGTATTGAAGAAGACTTGAAACTAGAGATTGAGACCATAAACTCATGTTTACAATGTTTACTGAGGTAATAAATCAAGAGAGAAGTAGAGTCATTTTCTCATAGACTTCTATACAACCAGAGGAGTCGCCCCCTGATGGACACTGGAGAGAATGCAGCTTTAACACATGAAGCATCGGCTTCACTTTTCAGAACCGGAGGTTGCGTCTGCTAAGGAAGTTAAACGTCATAATTCCCTCTCTAATATCTATTTTATGTTGAAAAAATCTCCTCAAGTTTCTCGACAAACACTAAATTGAAAAGATTAACAAGAATACATTTTAACTAGTGCTGGGCAACGATTAAAATATTTAATCGCGATTAATTGCATGAATTTTTTGCGATTAATCTCATTGTTATGGCAAAGTTCAATAATGAATTCAAAAGTAGTGTATTGTGCACTTTTATTGCAAAAGTACTGCTATATGAACAAAAGGGCAATAACATTTGGTTTGCAAACACTTTAAACATATAAGGTTCTTTTTAACAGCAGTATTCCCTTCACACAGTAGCAGTTCTATCTCTTCACTATCTGTGCTCAGTGTGTGACTGTATGTGAAACGTTCCACTGCTGTGCAACAGGAATAAAATGTTTCAGCACGTTTCAGCTAAATGTGTCTTCATGACAGTCAGAGCATGTGAATGCAGCTCTACTGTTCATCACTATGATGCTGTAACTCAGAGGTGATGATGGTTATCCAGCGATCAAAGAATAAAGACACTTTACCCACAATTTAGGTGTATTTTCCCTTTAACTCACGAGATGCAGCGTGTTTTATACTTAATGTGAATATAATGTTAATGTTGAACGTATCATAATGATACTCGATGCAACCTCCGCAACGTGTTGGCTCAGCAGGACTGCACTGCCCACCGACTGCTAACAGCTAACAGCTAACATTAATTAGCTTTCTTCCTGCTGATTTCTACATGGATTTGTTGGATGTAGCATCCTGGACGCTTTGAAAGTGAGTTTACTGCATCATCATTAGTGCCGAACCTCCACGGTACCTTTGGTTCCTGCGGTACTCTAACGTCATATCTTTGGAATTTTGGCATCAACTTACCGAAACATCAGTTTTAACTTCCTTAACAGCCATCGCTAATTAGATCAGCTGTGTTAAAGTTAGCCGTGGTTGTGATGTCTAGTCTGAAACCTGATATCTGCTCTCACACTCGTTACTCTTTGACATCATTCTTATCATTTCTTTGCTAAATTAAGTAAATTGACTGACTATCAAAAACATTCCATTAGGAGTCAAGTCACAGTGTGAGACTGTGTTTATGGATCTTTAACTGTGTAATCCAGACCTGGATCACCTCCAAGCTCTTCATGAAGAATCCAATATCACATGTGTCATAACTTAAAAATAACAATTCCACATTCTTTCCTTTGATTTTGAAGTTGCGTACAACAATAAAACTGTTGGCAGAAATGAAGCGGATTTAAATGATGT